CTCTCTCTCTCTCTCTCTCTCTCTCGCTTGTCTTCTCTACCCACGTCTTCCTCCGCATACACGAAGAACACCGCCACCTCCCGCTGACTGTCCAAGCCAAGCCCGGCTATGGTCGGGCTGGCTATGGCGCTGTCGAGCGCATCGGTCCGGCACCGCACAGGGCAGCGCGGGACCCTCCCGGACGTATCACGCAGGAGTTGGTCTAAATCCTATTCGCGAATATACACATGGAGCCTCCGCAAGCCGCTCCGGCCGAGTGCGCCAGCCATACCTCTCGCGAGCCCCTACGACAGGATAGGGCCTACGAGAGGCACGACTTACCTCCACCTTACGGAAGCTGTCACCTCCCTTCGGTGGGCGTATCCCCATCGAGCTACCAGTCCACAATACGAAAGTTGATCAGTTGCAATCGCAGAGGTGGACCAGCCGAGGGCGTTTCTCGTTCATTGTAGCATAGGGGGTACGTGCGGAATTACGCCTCTATCGAACCCGCACACGAACCAACATCTTGGGGGGCTGAGGTCTCAAGCGCGACTCGTCGCCAGTCGACTAGGACGCATGCCACACGCCACGCGCACACCACTATAAAGAACATAAAAATGAAAGCACACACACACACGCACGTACATATATATATACAGAACGACACTGAACAAACAACGCGACAACACTCCTAGTCCCTTAATATCTATCCCATAACTTTCCAATGTTGAAATTGGATAGGCGTCGCGCGCGAGACTTAGTATAAAACCGTGCGGACGCAGGGCTAACTCATATCGACTCGCAATGCAAGCGTACGCAAGCGGTCGTGATGATGACATACTATGTAGTACCCATACTCATGAGGTCCTCGTTAATCTCGAGGGTCGCATTCGGCACTCAAGTGTCGGCTGACATGCGCCTTGAGGGTTAATCTCTCGACGTTGGACAACCGCCAAGTGCGGTTGAGAACCACACCCTCTTCTGCACCCTGCGGAGAGTGGGTGGTACACAGGTTCATACATGTGGTGGCAATCGTCTCTTATGGTCTTGGAGACCAGCTCCACCATCTAGGACCTGGAGATAAATCAAGGGGTTCAATTTTGACAACTGCCACGGACTACAACGTCCAACCATAGAAACTTTAAAAAGCAAAAGGTAAAAGAGGATCCCCCCTTTTCTCTCACACGCACGATCTGTTTAACCCTTACGTGTGGTCCCAGTAGGCCGTGCGAAACACTCTAGACATATATATATTCACATATATAGAGGGTTATAAATATGTGACGATCACTTCTCACAATCACAGTGGGGCTCCTCTCAGCCATATATATATGTATGTGAGCGCAGACAGTCAAATCCAAAGTCTGAATCACCAAACATACCTGCAATCACATCAAAAATTCAACCAAAAAGTCCATACACAACACGAGGTCAACTTCAACCATTCTCTGCACTCACACCCCTTGCTTTTAGCCATAAGAGCCTCACTCTTTGTGCAACTCTCAAAATAAAAATACTCAGTACTTTTCTTTAAATGGCCATTCAAATAAAGTCTGGGTGATAACACAACAAAACAATCCAAATCACAAGGCTAAAGCCTTTGAGCGGCAAGAGTGGATTGGAGTTGAGTCGTAAACCGACGAATCGGCAACCGACCTGTTATCAGTGATTATAGAAGATGATCCTCGTAGGATCAAGC